TTAAAGTTACGTGTTGCACATTGTTTCTCAAACAAATTTAGGTCAATGACGACTAATGCCACACCACCTTGAATGAATCCACACCAAACACTAAATCACGGTGAGTTTAATGGCTCCTCTGTGTACCCTGTGTACTCTGTGTGGGAGGGTCTGTCCTTTCACTATATTCGTGAATTACTGATATTATCATTTTCATACAGCGAAAAAGTTGCTTCTTCTTCTGCTAGAAAGATGGACAGAATCTACTATAAACTATCAGCCATATCTTTCAATACACATACTTACCATTTTCACTTATGGATATTCTTTCCTTGCAAATGATGAAATAATTGCAGGTATAGATTCAGTGCAAGTGAAGGAATAATAGGTGAGGGAATAATAGGAGTTGGTAGCGCCTACGATGCATTTTATAACGATACATACCTGGTAATCAAAAATGATTCAAACTAATTCAATATTTCAAGCTGAATTACTAGCAAAAAGGAAAGCCCTAGTATACGCAAATCAACCTTCAATAGCCAGCATCATAATATCTGACAGTGCCTCAAGCATACAAGCAACAATAGGTAAAAATAAATCACCTCTAGTCCAAGACATACAACTCCTACTTGCTAATTTTTATAAAGAATACAAACCAAAACTCTACTGGACAGAGCTCACAAAGGAACTTTGGAACGAAAGCAGAACATTACAAGAGAGGCAGCACAACACTATTCCATAGTACCTTTCACATCCAATCCCTCATATTAAAAGCAGACGGGAAAAATTTAATAACACAAATGAATGCAATTGGTCAGAGACAAACAGTCAGACGAAATACTTATTCTTACAAAACCATCAAGGATTTTATAACTTCAAATATGCAATAACTTATTTCCTTACCTTACATGGACCATTTATTTCATATCTTCATAGTTTTGGCTTCCATCATACTGACAACTGCATCTGTGGCTCAATAGGAACAATAGATCATTATAAATGTTCGAATGCTCAATAACCAAAAATCTCCACTTTCGCCCCTTCACAACTGTCAACGCACAAATCTGGTTGAAACAACTTCTTAAAATGAATTTTCTTCGTAATAATCTGCATAACTTAATCAAATATCTAATAGGTAACTTGTGAACATTTAAAAGGAACATAGAGGCAATTCAAGATTCAAGATATTTTATGTTTCAATATATTTCATGTTTCAAGATATTTCAAAATATTTCATCTCATAAGCTGTTACAGAACTTTCATATTAGAATTAATTATTTTTATGTATAGTTATATCATAAAAATATCTTTACATTATTAGCATATTATGTATTATTTAATTTATATATCCATTCATAGTTAAAATTAACTAAACATGGTCCCGCTGAGTGGCAAAAGGAGAAAGTCTTCTTGTGGCACAGCTTCTCACCCATGGTCTCTGTCTCCTGTTTTCTATATCTTTGAACTTTTAATAAGCTATTTAGGTTTTATTACTTTTGCTTCCCACGAAGAGAGAAGGAATTATTGAACGATAATAATCTCTAATGAATTCGAAGAATGGGTTTCATATTGCGAAATACTGTCGCCTTCTGTTTAACAGAGCATAAGTTACGAGTACGCATGCCATTAGTACGCAGTGCCGATCTTCTGTGAAAACTGTTATTTTATTTGTTTAATTTTTTACATCTTTAGATTGATATAGCATTTAATAGACCTCTTGCAACTATTAAATAGTCTTCCGAAGATATATCTAATATATATTTATTTTGCGAAAAGTTTCCGCAGCATATTTTTCAACAAAATATCCCTTTGTGACCGCTACGAATGCATTACAATGTTTTGCTGATATCTACGTAAAGGCAGAATAAAAGACTCTTTCCTCAAAAAAATTATAAAACTGCTTAAATATTCGAAGAGAATTTTTCGTGGCGTATGTACGTAGTATCTCGATAACTCAAAAATATAGCCCAACGTGAAATTTTGTATATAGGACTGGCTGTAACGTGAGTGCACCTATAGTTTGGTTGCAATCGGCCGCAACAACGAATAAAATATGGATATATTATCCACTCTGTTACCCGGCTCAGTGACTCATTTTCTTTACTCTTATATGTTTGTAAATGTATTTTTTTTGCTTTAAAAATGATTGAATTTGTTGTTTTATCTCGGGATGTTTTTAATGGCCTAGTAATCGTGTGCAATATTTTCGAATTATCAGCAATTTTTAAGTTGTTTAATTGCGCTAAGCTTTTTTTAAGCGGCCGTGATGTTTACTTGAACAGGACTAGTGGATTGTTCATCAGAGAACTTAGCTTCGCAACAACAAAATAACGGAATTATTATTATTGCCAATTAATTAAATCCTTTCTTTCTGAATTTTTCGAGAAAAAGTGTTTTTTTTTTACGATTTCGTAATTTTTAATATACATTTTGAGTTTTTTAATGTATTTTTCTTCTCTCGATTTAGACTGAATTAATTAAGAGAATACTCAATCGTCTGGAAAACTGTTTCTTTTTTGTTTTGTTTGCTTAATTTCTTTTATACATCATCTTAGCTTTTGATATTTGATAGAACATGTGGCAACATAATAATTATTCTTATATATAAATTTTGTGCATTTGAGTTTAAATGAAGAAATATATACTGAAGGGGATCATCACTTTTTGCGCAACACAAAAAGTGAATTAATCTGATTTCGGTTTTAAATCAATTGTTTGTCATACAATATGAAATTTTCAGTGTGTCATCTTATACATAGATGATATCTTTCTTGATTTATTTTATTACCTGTATAGAATTGTTTTATAAAAAATAGAACTCAGTATTTTCCGAAAATTAAAATTTTACTGAAGCACTGCGCGCAAACTGCAAGATACAAATTTATTTACATTATAATTTGTAAGTGAATCTAGCGCCATAGTTTCGGCGAAAACGCGTAATGTATTTGCCTATTTCGTAGAACTTTTTTTTCCTTGAAAGCCAACTGAGAGTACGGTGGGTAATTTACCATTTTTCCGCTATTTAATTATTTGTTTATTGTAATTGTATTGATGCATTTTGTGTCTTCATTTTATTTTTTAATTTTAATTTTAATTTGTTATGAATAGCATTTTATACATGGCAAGTTTTTTTTTAATTTTAATTTTTTGTAAGGCATTTATATTGACATTTTAATCCATGTTTTTGTACTTCTCATATATATATATTATTTCCGTCGATCTATTTTTCATGTGAGTTAACTTTTCACATTTCACACAACGGTCAGATTCATTAATTTTTTCGTGCATTAGCAATCTTCCAGCACTAATTTGGCAGTTTATCGCGTGTTTACAGTTTTTCCAGTTATTCCAGACAAATTTCTTATTATTTATGTAGTACTGTGTTTCAATATTTCGTGGAGTTACAGCTCCTGGTAACTTTTTAGCAAGTTCGCTACAATGTTAATACCTACTACTATTCTTTCAAAATTTTTTGCAGCATTATGCGCAAAAGTTTTTGAGACCAAATAGGTCTTACGTCTAATTACAAGTTAGCTTTACATTTTCTTTTTCAATTAATATTTTATATGTAAAATATATATTTCAACCACGGAAAGGAATATATGCACAAAAAATATACACAAATAAGTATGGAATCTGTATTTTCGAATGGGATTTCCCATTTTCATACATGTTTGTTTTTTTGGTATATTAATTTCACTGCACGTTTTTAAGAATTCTCCTAATTTATAGTAAAGCTTACTGAAATGTTACATGTGTAGATTTATTCTGGAAAAACAAATTTCGGTACATATTTATTCTGCTATTTCAGTGGGCTCATCAACGGCTGAGCAGTTAAATCATTGAACACTGATAGTTCAACATGGGTTCGATTCCAGGCAAACGAGCTAAGAGTATCGGAGTTTCCGTGGTTTAACATGCATAACGCAGATACGAATCAGTTTCCGTTAGAATATGGTAGATAAATATAGTGAATTTTAAAAAGCGCATATATTCTATTGTGATGCGCTATCGACGAAGTATATTTAATTCAATTCAATAAGTTTAAATGAAATGCGGGAAAATTGCGTATAATTTAATATCCGTACAAGAAATTCATGTGGTGTTACACATCAGATTTTTTAATGACGATTTCATAGTTGCAAATTTAGAGACAATTTTGTAAATTTCTAAAAATTCAAGTTGACGGAACGAATTAGTGCGAGCTTTTTCCGCAAGAGGTCTTTCACTTTTCTCTCGATTCACTGTAGCAACAACGCTTCATATAAGCCTGGCCTAACTTCAACCATACTGCATTCCGAAAGAAGATTTATAATCCTTGTCATATTTATGCCAAATTTTGCGTTGAACCTGTTTTTACGTTAAACTAAATAGAATTATCAACCTCAAGTAAATCTGGTGAACATTTCACAGAATTCGAAAAATGGATTTTCGTGTACGATATGTATAGAGCGGAAAGCAAATCATTAATATTTATTCATTTTTCTTCGAAGTCCACCAGCAGCCGAGCGGTAAAATCGCTGAACACTGGTAGTTCGGTCCGAGGTTCGAATCCCGTGAACGGGCTGGCGGCAGGGGCTTTTTCGTGGTTTTTCCCGTGTGTAACGTGTATACGGGCCAGTTTCCCTTAGAAAGTCCTCCACGAAGGCATCCCTCCCCTTAGGCTAATAGCTCTAGTGTGCTTTGCCGTAATTAATAAACCAAACCAACATTTTTTTTTTCCTCGAATAACTTCACAAGTATTTTTTCTGCAATTAATGCCTTCTACAGTTGTACGGATGAGCTTATTAAAATTTCCGGCATACGTCACCGAAATAAGCAATTCATCTGCATAATAAATAGTCTGTCTAGCAAAATTCTTTTCCAAAAAAAAAAAAAAATTATTGCAGCCGAGATTACAATTCGAAATCTTACTTTTCGTTACCTCCTTACCTTCTTTCAACATCCTCCTTAATTTTTATGATATTGCAAATTTATTATGCTAATTTCTCTTATAAAAGGAAGGTTGAAAAACGGGATATCCATACCGATTACGTGCGTGCATCTAAGAAATGGAATTCTTGAGACGCAGTTTAGTTTTCCTCGCAGTACTGGCGATGGCTACTTTAACAATCATTCAGGCTGCTCCTGAACCTGAGCCGAAGTTATCTTCTGCAAGTTTAGCGTCCTTGGCTGGATAGAAAAAAAAACGAAATGAATTCTGGTGCCTCTTATCTGGACTTCTGGTAAGTATTTAAATTTTATATGCACATATTCAGCCTTATTATTTTAAGCGCTTCAAATCGCTATTCCTTACCTTATCAAAAGAAAAGCCTGAAACAGCGAAGCAAGTGGGGTATTTAAAAGCAATTAAAAGCTTCTAAATCAATAACAGAACTTAAAAGAACTATTCACAAATACAGATCCAGTTCGTTTGGCTCGAAATTATTTTGTTTCGGACATTGTATTTGTACATTGTTATTTGTATTATTACCGACAGCTTTCCTGCATCAGTGCACCGAGGTGTTTGAAGTGTAGTTCTGATCACCCGACCTACACTTGTGCTCTGACAAAAGAAGAAAAACCCACCTGTGTCAGGTGTAAAAAATCGCACATTGCGACTTGTAAAGGTTGGCGAATTTTTTTCAAAAGTGCGTAATAATAGAAAAATGATAAGACTTCTCTCTAGCCGCCCAATGAATTTAAAAAGAATGCTGAAAAGCCTAGAAAATCAACTCCTGACGTTACTGCTGCTTCAAAATCTAGATCTGCAGGTCACAAAGTCTGCAGATGCTAAACTAATAACTTCGGACATTACTTTAAAGTCTGAATCGCAAGTCACTAATTTATTAAACAAATTTTCTGGATTCGTCGGCAACATTTTAGAATTTGTCAAGATTATTAAAGATTTGAACTCGCAGAATGAAAAACTACAGCTTGCCCTGCAGTTTCTTGGTATCATTGGAAAACTGAACATTTAATTCTCTTCTACTTATCTCGAAGGATGACAGTTAACCACTGCACCAGACTTCAGATGGCGCCACTTTTAATACACTTCTTTTTTGCACTTTTCAGGACTTTTTATCCTAAGCCAGTTTTGTTTTGGGCCCTTTCCTTTATATTCATGACACTCATGCACTTTTATATTATGTATTTCTTATACTTGCATGTTAATTTTACTTGAATTGAGCCGGAACACAGCTGTTTAATTACTCTAGCTTCTCTGGGCATAATAATGTCATGTCATGTCATGTTATAAAATGAATGAAATATAACGCTGTTAAGTGAACCTAGCGCCAGAGTGTCGCTATGGTAAACAAATATAGTGTATTTTAAAGAGTGCATTTATCCAATTGTGGTTTATGCGCTGTCGATGAAATAGATTTAATTCAATCCAATAAGTTTAAATGAAATGCAAGAAAGAATGCGTATAATTTAATATTGCTTACAAGGAAGTCATGTGGTGTACACATCAAATTTTTATCCCTTGTGCTCTTGGGTATTACTTTTCATATTGCAATTGTTTCAAAAATCTATTATTTATTTTAAAATTCAATAAGATATTATGTATTTTAAAATTCAATAACATATTTTTAAATTCAATAACATAAAAATATGTTATTGAATTTTAAAATACATAAAAAATTTTGTGCATTTTTAATATATTTAAATTTTGTTATGTTTAATAACGTACTTAATTTTTTTTTTTTTTTTTGTGGTGTGTGTGTGTGTGTGTGATTTCTTCCTTGTTGTATGATATAGCTTCATAAAGATAATGATTAATTACTAATTTTTTTTATAAATTGCTTTCTAATCAATGGGATTTTGATTATTTCGATCTGTTTTATCTCTGCATATTCAACTTTTAATACCCTGATCATCATTGACTCCTTTAAAATTTCACCGACCCTGAAATTTTAAACCGTTGGGAACCCCTGCTTCAGCTAAATCTACTGAAACATGGGTCATTTACAGCCTTACATTTACTGTATATAAATTATGTAAGCAGAATTTTTGCACGCTGCTGATTTTTTCCCCTCCTTTTTTCCTCTCAGACGCAGCTGTTTCCTGTGTTGCTAAAGTGAAGCAGAGTATCCTCAAAAAAAATTTTTTTTTTCTTTTTTGTTAAACTTACTGTGTGTCCGTTTTCGTTACACTTTTATCTTTTCATAAAAGATTCTTTTGCATTTTTACTATAAAAAACAGCGTGTTTCAAAAGAGAAATGCGCAGTACGCCTTTTCCGTACATTTCAGATTTTTTCGTAATATTCTTAAAGTGAACTTTTAAAAACTATCAAGTTAAAGAAACCAAAGTACATCTTGATAAATTTCTTTTCAAACAAGTAATTTTTTTATATCAAATATTATTTATATATTTTTTTAATTATCAATTTTTAATTTTTTAGGTTATGAAACATGGAACGATGTCCGAATATGTTCTTCTGCCTACCCAAAACACTTTCTGAGGAGAATAAAATAATAATGCTAACTTCAAAATTGTTATTTAGTGCCACTTCACTAATAAACAAAATTTTGAGATTTTCTTGATTTTTCTGTGTCGAAAATGTTATATTAAAATGCTCACAGATATTCATTAAAGAATTTTATGTCATTTCATTCCTTCTCTTACTATTCTAACTCATAATTATTTGCTGTGATCAGTCTCAGTTATCTGTAATTCCTTGAGTGTTTAAAATTTTTAAATCTCATAAAAATATTTTAATAAACGGCTTTATTTTTTAAGTAAATGATTTCATATTGATATAAAAAATGTTAATGTTAGGAAGAGCAGCTGGAAAAGCATTTTTTTTTTTTTTTTTTTTTTTTTCTGTTTCTTACTTCAGTATCATTTCTCGAAATTATTTTGTTTATTTTAATAATTTTAAATTTTACAAATTTATGTCGGCGATATATCGCTATTATTTTCGTATCGTTGAGGCTGATTTTTATTCTTTGTATATGATCTAATTGAATGCCAGATTAAAATCGATTACAAAATCGCAAAACTTTTATGGCCTGTACAACAAATATTGTTAGTAATGCATTTTTCAAGCGCAAGGTAATTCCTTTGTAGATTAATTTCAGTTAGTCTGTTATTTGGCCGTAAAGTTCCTATTATAATCTGCATATTATACGTATATAATACGTAATATTCAGAGAAGAAAGCTACTTTGTGCTACAGTTACACGAGGAAATCAAGACAGTTATTAAGACTGTTGTATACTATTACTCTTGTTTGTCAGAATTCCATCTCTAGGAAGAAATAATTAGCATTGAATGAAATTTATTAGCACAACAATTAAAAGTCTCCGTTCGACAAATCTGTCTGATAGGTAGACTCAAATATATGTTCAGACCGTCTAAGCGACTCTCTTCCGCTCACTAACTTCATTTTAGTTCCTGTATCAGTCTCGATGCAAATGCAACAGACAGGAAGGAGTGACGTTTGCAGAAAAAATTCATTTTCAGTTTCCTGTTTGGCTTATGCTTGGTGTCAGGACACCATTCTGTATATACTGTAGAAACTATTTTAACTATGAAAACCAAATCGATGAATAAAGCATATGAAAAGCAACGTATAGTCGACGACTTATAGTATTATACATAGCTTTAATCTGAATTGCAATTAATCAAGACAAAAGGAAATTTAACATAAATCTAAAAATAAATAAAAGGGTAACATATAGAAGGTACTTTTACTGCACATATATTTCGGTTTCTAATGATGTCGAACAATTATAAGAGAATATGTTTGTTTGTGAATGCTAAAAAAGGATGCTCATGAGTTACCTTGGCGGTTTAATCCTAGTATCCGGTGCACAAGGGATTTGGCTACTTTTGGCGAGTTTATGAGCAGTAAACGGGAGATATACGATGAGTAGTTAAACGGGTCCTTTTGGTGTTGGCGATAATTTTCAAAATCGCGCCAAGGCTGCACCGTATACTAGGATTTTACCAAGATTGGCATTCTTCAAAAGTATGAAACTCTAAAACTTTTTCTGGGTATGATCATCGAACACATAGCCAAAGACAAAATTTCAGCTTTCAGAATATGAAATTGTTGTTGTTACTAGTCTTACTAGTTTGACAAAGGTCAGCATAAGCACACGACATTCGTCGTGGCAAGGAGTCATATACGTCATTCGTTAGCAAGGGCCTTGAGCACGACATTAATTAATCTTCTAAGTTCATGGACCACTACATATATAATTTTATATTTGGCGTACCACTAATATGAATTAAAAAAGGTGCTTAAAAAATACAATTATGCGCTAATAATCAGCAAACTACGCCTATTTCGTTCACATTGAAAAATTACATGAAAAGTACAAAAATCTTACCTTCTTGTACAGAAAGCTTCACATTTCCATATCACTGAAAAGGAACTTCGCGAAAAGCAAGAACAAACCCGCAAACGCAAAGCAATATCAATAAACCAACAGTGATATGCCGCCAATTTTTAATTATTGTAAACATAATAATCATCGCTTACTTAGCAATGGCGCCATTGATCAACAGTTAGACAAAATAAAAGCGAAAACTTCCAGTGATGCAATTATAAACAAGAATGCAGATGGTTTTTATGAAAATCCATCAAGATGCCTATTGAAACGGAGAAAAACTGTGTTATATTAACGACCACAATAGCATATGTTTGTAATTCAAAATAAAAGAGAATTCCAGTTCGAACTATTATTGATAACAGCCAACATCCATGGATGCCGGTGTCCGCCGATAACATCGCGGCAAAAACATCGCGGACAAAACGTCGCGGAGAAAACAACGCAAGGCGAAAACGTCGTGCTACAAAACATCGTGGGTGAAAACATCGCAAAGAGACAACATCGCAGTTCTAAAGCATCGCGGTACAAAATATCGTCGTCGAAAATAAAGCGGTTCAAAAACTTCGTAGTTTAAAAACATCGTCGTCGAAAATATCGTGGTAAAAAATAAAGTATCTACAAATCATCGCATGACAATAACATCGCAGACATGCTTTTTTCAGGTTTTAATAATTGTAAATGGATATTCCCATAATGATTTGTGAGCGCAAGAGAATGATAACTTTTACTTTCACACTTTTTTATTAACTAATAAATTTTTGCTGAAAAAGTAAGAAGGAAACTTAAGCATAGAAAATTAAATGCAACTTATACATTATACTTTTCATGAAAAATTACCAGTAAAAACTTTATAAAAAATGATTTATTAATGGCCTTTGTTAGTTAACTATGTCGGTTTAAAATTCTATTAAGTGCTATAAGTTGCATTAATTTTCTATGCTTAAGTTTCCTTATTTTCTCAGCAAAAATTTATTAATTAATAAAAAATATGGAAGTAAAAATTATCCTTCTTTCCATCTTGCGCTCACAAATCATTACGGGAATATCCATTTACAATTATTAAAACCTGAAAAAAGTATGTCTGCGATGATTTGTAGATACTTTATTTTTTACCACGATATTTTCGACGACGATGTTTTTAAACTACGAAGTTTTTGAACCGCTTTATTTTCGACGACGATGTTTTGTACCGCGATGTTTTAGAACTGCGGTGTTTTCTCTTTGCGATGTTTTCTCCTACGATGTTTTGTAGCACGACGTTTTCGCCTTGCGTTGTTTTCTCCGTGACGTTTTCGTCTGCGATGTTTTCGGCTGTAACCATGGATGCCAACTCTCCCTTTCAAATGTCGCTAGATACACCTGCAAAAGTAGTTATAAAGTCGCTAAATTCAGATGGAATTTCGCTAAAAGTAGTACTTAAAATTTTAAAAGAAGTATAATCCATATTCCCTAATAGGTTTTGTTACTCGTCATTTTTAAACTGAATCTTCATAAAAATATAAATAATGTCCCAATTTTTGTGCGTAAAAATTTCACGGATCACCAGTGGTCCTTAGACCACCGGTTGGCAACCGTTGTTCTAAATAACATACCGTAAACATTTTCAACAGGCTCTATATAGAATTTGGGACTTAAATGTTTTACTTAATGAATCTGAATATTGTACTCTTGAAGTTTAATCTTTGGAATATGGTAACAGGTAGTTTGCTGACATTTTGGTAAGGCGATAAAGGTTACTAGCTAGGACTTTAGCAGTGTACATGGATAAAGTCAAGAGTGTGCGCAATGCCATTTTTGTGCAATTCTGGGATTTTTTTTAAGTCAAAATAGGTCGACGTGTACATGGATACCGTGTATGTGCAGTTCTTAAAAACGCGGCAAGCAGTTTGCTATTCTGCACTTTCTCCCAATTTCGCACCTAATCTTCGTCATGATTAAGCATTTTTGTTCCTTAAAAGTTCTAGCATAAGCTTAATTCGGCTAACCGATTGTTGAAAAAAAAAATGTTGAGAAAAAAAAAACACATGCCTTTACTTCGTGAAAACAAAATGGCGTCCAAACAAAAACTAGCAGGTTGCTGTAGCAGGGTTAGTCGCCAAATTTTCACCAAAAAATCGCCAAGTTACCATAATCCAAAGATTAACTCTCTTGAATATTTCTTTCCATTCCAGGAATACTTAATTACAAAATTGAAATGTACTTCATAAGGCTAGTTTTACTTTAGATTCCATATACATCAATTACACTAATTAGGTACATACATTTCAACAAATAAATGTTTAAACTACTATTGTAGAGATGCGTTCGCGAATTTTGATAAAAGTACATTCTGGCGCTTTCTGTCGTATATCAATAAGGGATAAGAATTAACGCAGATTGAAAACCTTAACTGTTTTCTAGTTTTATTTCTGTTCTGATTCGGCTGTATTATACACAGAAAATAACTAAAAAATTGATTTAGAGGAAATATTGCATACTAATAAAATGAAGAAGAAAAGAAGGTTGATCTTTACATTATGGTAACTTGGCGTTTTTTTGGCGAAAATTTGGCGACCAACTCTCCTACAGCAACCCTCTATTTTTTTTTCCCGCCGCCATTTTGTCTTCACGAAGTAAAGACATGTTTCTTTTCTTTTTATCTACTGAACACTTCTTCTTCCAACAATCTACTAGCCGAATTACACTTATGCTAGAAATTTTATCTAACAAAACTGCTTAATCATGACAAATATTCACTGCAAAATTGGGAAAAAGTGCACAATACCATACTCCTTACGCGTTTTTCAAAATAACACATACACATAAACCATGTACACGCCGACTTATTTTTACTTAAAAAAACATCCCAGAATTGCACAAAAATGGCATTGCGCACACTCTTCACTATATCCATGTACACTGCTTTTTTCTCATAAATTAGAAAAATTTCACGAAAATACATGACAATTTTCTCAATCTTTAAACCCGGTAAAAAGAACATATATGAAATTACCTGATTGCGAAAAAGTATTTACCCTTTACAAATATTAACATTTCCACATATAAAATAAATAAAATATCCAAAAACTTTTACCTCTAAATCACCTATTACATTATACACGTCACCAACGAATTCATACATGAAGCATTACAAATATTTATTATCAAATATTTAAATTATTTCCATGCACATTTATTTCAACTTAAACATACACCAAAT